GGATTCACATGTAATGCTTGAAAACATGTCAGAAAAAATAAATTAAGTGAAATTCTACGTGACTTCATAATACTAGTAGTTGGAAATGAACACATTACACCCGACCCTACCACTCTATATACAATGTAAACTACACCCCAAAACATCCTTTCACCCACAGTTACTACCGTGTTTCACTAGTGTATTCTATTTGACGTCAGGAGAAATTGAAATAAACAAATTAATTATAATTTCAGCCTCTAGTTGACCACTGATTAAATAAACTACCTCGTCTTTATGTCAACTTGCAGTTATTCGTTGCCTACACCAGTGACTTCAAAATATATGTTTCAATCCCAGGAATTTCACTCGCTGTTAATTGCATGGGAGTGGCAGTCTTTAATGAATTTCTATTGTCATGTCAATTTCTTGCGATTACTCGAACATTAAGCTGTAACCACATACCGCCTAAGTGCTGTAATTAAATCCTGGTGTAAGCACCATATGAACTATGAACAATGCATGTGAAGCCAGCTGTGGGGTATATTCAATCCTATAGATTTCTCATTGTTTGGTAACTATTTGCTGCAAATGCACAAAATCATATAAAAATATTACCCACACAGTATTCTACAGGTTACTTGTTGTATTTAGTAGTAGCAATTGTGCAAGACACGTCCCTGGTAATCACGTGATCGGTCCAACGACTGCAGCGATTGGCTAATCGCATGTTCACTCTGCCGCGGCTTAGAGACTTGACCTTTAAGATAAAGAGTTTGTAAACTTTTGTAAGAGGGAGAGATCATAAAGGTTTTTGATTTTTTCGAAAGTCCGCATTTTATCAAAAATGGGGTAAATTTGTATTTAGAAATCAGTGAAATGCAGAACACTCATATCGATTTCATATGTCCCACTTTAAAGATCGATTGTCGTCGCACCGCGTCCTGTTCGATATGGGACTCATAGCGACGTATACAACGCGTGTAAAATACATTGTTTGTCCCCTGGGAATTCGGGTATCTACGCTATAAAGCTAAAATATCCATTGCAAGCTGTCTGGGAATCAAGTACCGATTTATTTTATAATGTCACTGCGCATGCGTCAGATGCCCATAGCGTGTCATTGTTTACAAACAAGCATCTACCCATGAGCCTTTGCGTCTTTAGCATGTGTTGTTATCGTCGCCTGGGACTCAATTCCTGCGTATACTTTTCGGGAAAGTGCCTTGCTCCCATTTTTTTCACGATTTTTTGGAAAGACGTGTGAAAAGAAATAAGTGGCGAGTTGGCACAATTTGACAACACAAAAAACAGATTTCGGTCGCTACACATACTTCGTATGTTATGGTTTCATATTCTCTCATACAGATTATTTGGCAATTTGTTTTACTCTATTTCTTTGTTATAAATAATATCCCTGACAATTTACCATCCACCCCTCCTTCTGAAAAAAAAATAACGGACCATCCATAATAATGGTACTTCGACTGTCATTCACCCCCTACATATAATGGACCACCCCTAGAATATTATATATAGATGTACGCCCGCCAGACAAACAAACTTCCAACAATGACACAGGTCTGTCATTCAAACTACCTGTACAAATAATGGACAACTTCCAACCCATGTACAGATCTGCTATAAATTGGTCAAACCCCTAGCACACAAACAAATGGTTCACTCCTAACAGTGGTGCATATCTGTCATTCACCCCCGTACAAATAACGGGCTACCCCCTAATAATGGTACAAATCTGTCATCCACCCCCTTATAAAAAACGGACCACCCCTTAAAGATGTCAAGGAAGCGTGTATCGTAATCTTACCCAACATCTTTCATATCTAATTCGCTCACTGCCCGACTAGACCTGTCACTCACTCTGTGTTGACGTACACGCGATAGGGATCAACGTGACCTTCGTAAAGGTCACAACATTGAGTATATCTAATAATATTTTAAAGGGCGGTGGTCGTCGCGCCGCGTTCTGTTCGACATGGGACTCATAGCGACGTATACAACGCGTGCGGTATACATTGTTTATTTACATGAAATTCGAACACAAGCTGTGCGACGACCACCGCGCTTTAAGTAGTTGTACCGATGACCATCTAACTGCAACTTTTGAAACAGGAAAATGTACTCAACAAAACACCTTTCTACTATACCATTTCACAACACAAAGGCTTACCCTCTGGTGATTGAACACTTCTGTGACGTCACAATACCGTATATGCGTTTGGTTGTTTGCGTAGTCGCTCAACATATACTGTAGAATACTTTATTTTAACTGGAATTAATTTTCGCTGAAAAGACTTTTTGGGTGTTCTTATGGAATTTATTTTCACTGATTTTTTGGCGAGTTGAATGTAAAATATAGGAAAAAAAGTTATATTTGCAGGATTTTATTTTCAGCGAAAATTAATTCAAAGCAAAAATAAAGTATTTTACAGTAGTCAAATCTCTCAAAAACATAATCAGGTCACTCTAATTCAGAACAAATCTTTCGTCACTAGAGGGCGCAATTAAGGACTGATTACTCCGTGATGTATACAGGAAAGAATATATCTTATGCAAGTTGTCATCGATCTTATAACCTGGTAAACATAAAATATAATATTGGAAATTATTGCTGTAATAGAGGAGAGAAGTTTCTTCTATCGACTATCAGCAAACGGACATGTTTGATTTCCCGCCATGACAAAGCAGTATTTCTGCACCCGGTCCCAGTGAGTCGATTCTGCATTATATTTTGTCAAGTCCGATATAATCCCGCCATGGTTTCTAAAGCAAAAAGGCAGGAAGTTGATAATGAGCTGGGTTCGGAAAACGATGCGTATTCGCAAGATTCTACTGGATTCGTTCAGCTTAACAATTCTCGCTCTGTGAATTCTACATCATAAGAACCAATTTTCACAGCAATCTATTCGTTAAGTAACTGAATTCGCATGTTGGTATCTCATTCGAGTCATTGTTCGAATGTAGCATTCGCCGAGCGATATTCTTCACTCTCCATTTGGAAAGACTTCTCGTACCCAAACCGACCCTAAGCCAGCAACGCCCTCAAGTTTGATAGCGTTTGTCACAATTACAAGTTGTTGCGAAAAATAAAACTGACGTAATCATATAACGCGCTGAAGATCGTGAATAAGGTCAGACGAGGAGTACATTTGCAGACGCCCAAGGTCATTTACCCCAACTAAGTCCACGAGATATCATTTGAGTTGTGCCCCTGTCGTTATTTTTGTTTATTCATTTGTTTATTTTCCGAATCGAAATTCTTAATAAATAATAATAAAATTGACATGACGTAATGATTATTTACGCAATTTAAAACAAATGTACATGTCCCTTTTTAGGCCACCTATAGTCATCTTGCGGAGAGGATTAGGGTTCGAGATGATGTCTACTCAAGTTATTAGTCTTTCGGTTCTGATTGCCCCAGCTTCCTCAGTCTGTTTTTTTTCCGCTTCTCTGGCAAATATGAATTAGCGAAGCGGAGCAACAGACTGAGGAAGCCGGGGTAGGTTCTAATATCCTTGGGGTACTCACATTGAAGTGCTATATGTACATGTGCCGGGGTTCCAAATTCACCACTTCTGTCTGAAAAGGGGTATGTTATTTTACCCTGTCTGTCTGAAAAGGGGTATCCTTTTTTTCCAAAGACTCTCTAGAGCTTGAGTGATCCAACAATCAGAAGAATGAAGCTGATATTTTCTTTCTGTGACTTCATTTCGATCGTCAAAGCATTTTGCATTTTTTCTTCCATGCCCACCTGCTTTTCCCTTGGTACCATTTATGCTTACTGTCTGGAAAGTGGTGTCAAATATCCACAGTTTGTCTGAAAAGCGGTAGGCAATTTGAGTTTATTTCTGTCTGATAGGGGTAGTGGTTTCAAACAACCAGCTACACACCCCTTGTCAGTATTTTTTGCAAGTACCGCCCGGGCATAATATACAACTGTGTGTTTCGCCCGTTTGAGCGCTATTGTCAACTTTTGGCACCGTCTACAAATTGATTTTGTATAGTCTGCTGTAGGAGGGATATAAAATACTGACAAAAAATGCCAAATCTTTTGATAAAAAATTAAACGCAATATCTTAAACTATATGTATGGACCAAAATAATGATGAAATTTGGTGAAAATTTTACGGAATGGGAACATATTTGCACTGAATTTTAGGCGGGAGAAATATCTGGCACCCAAAATGTTAAAGTTTAAAAAAAAGTTTAATAAAACAAAATTGTTGGTAATAACTCAAAAACAGTGCCCGGATGTGTGTAGTCAAAGGTCGCACATTATATCTAAATCAACAATTTGCATATAAATCTAATTATATGCAGCAAATTCGTAAGCACTGTTAAAACCAGAAAATGTTAAAATTCAAAACCAGATAAAAAAGTTACATTGTTTACAGACAAATCTGATGCGCATGGTGACATTTTTGCGCAGACGATAATGTTTACAATTGTTATTGTGTGGTGGTTGTCACTGTATGTCTGCAGAAATTCGGTCACTGTTCGTGTGTACTTGAGTTTGTCCGAATATCTTCATGTGGTAATATTGGTTAGCCAGCTAATATTGGCTAATTATAATTGTCTGCTAATTAGCCAGTGTTACGTGACTATCGACTTGGGTGGCAGCCATTGTCGAGGGACAACCATGACAGTTCTCGGAGTTTTGAAATCTACCCACCCACTCTTTAACTAGAGTTTTATTCAGTGTTATCAGATATTTTGCTTCCTTTCACTTTCAGTTTAAAGATTGTGTTCGTGCTGTTTTGTCGTGTTAGTATGTGCCTGCTCTTCACGTTTGCAAAATAAGGCACAATTTCCCGCCAATAAGTCTTCTCTGTGTATAATTAATAAGTAATAACATAAGGCAACGTTTTCTTTATGAATTCATTTATAACTAGCACCACTAAGAGTTCATTCCATTTTGCAATTTCATATAATGCAGATATGAAGCCTTGTTTCAGTCGTGTCGACCCCTGAACTAGGTCCAATACTAGTTACGGTTACTAGGAAAACCGTGGTATTGCGTACTTAGGAACTGCTATCGATGCTTGTACGAATACGTGGTACGGTAAGTGACTCACCACCGACCACTTATTAAGACCAGTGTCATACACTTCAACGACGTCGACGACGCCCTTCCATAGTGGTTCACGGAGTCCGCCAATAGCGTACACTTTTCCATTGCACGTGACACCAGTGCACCGTTGTCGACCCGCGTTTAACGTGGCCACGTCGCTCCAAACATTTGCTATGACGTCATACTGGAAGACAGAGTCCATACACTCGTCTTGATTGCCAAATACATAGATTTTACTCTCCGTGGCCGCTGCGGCCGCGTGCGCGCACTTCACCGGAATCTCCGCGCGCAATGACCAGACATTTTCATCCACGTCATACATTTGAACTGCTTTTGTTATAGCGCCCCCATTTCCCATTCCTCCGATCACAAACAGATTGCCGTTACATGACGTCAGAGCATGGTAGCACACAGCTTTCGGCATAGAGGGTGCTTCAGACCACTTATCGTTTCCAGGATTGTATACTTCCATAGTTTGGCATCTCCTAGCAACGCCGGGAATAAATACACGCCCTGCAATACTGGCTGATTTGTGCCCGACGTTTCTTTCATGCATATGTAATGGTGGTGCCCTCCTCGTCCACTCGTTGCCCGGAATACTATAAACCCAGGAATGCCCAGCATTCGTTGTACACAATACGTCATTTCCGAGAATGGATGCCGTGATTATTTGCTCTCGGCTAACCAACGGGAAAATAGTCAGGTCAAACCATCGGTTATCCTCGGGATCAAACACCAAAATTGGCCCTGATGATGTAACGACGATGATGACGTGGATGTATACGCGTGACGTCATGCGCAAGTTGAAATGATGCTTTAATCGTTCTTTATATTTCATGTGACGATAGTCATCTGCCTCCTCCATGTACATTTGCGTGTCGACAATATCTTTTAATTCTCTCTCTATTTGTTGTAAGTATTCGGGCGCCATGAACGGATAGCGGATATGCTGGAGGAGACGAGGTAGATGCGCACGCCGATCAGCCTCGCTTTCGTGATACCATCTCATTAAAGATTCGTAAACATCTTCTTCGCGGAGCACAAACAATGGCGCACTCATCAGTGTCTCCAGTTTATCGGACGCCAGACAAAGAAACTCCTCATGTTCGCTCACTGCTGAGAAGTTTTTCACCGCAAACTGCCAGGCGGTTTGACTTAGTGTATCATGTGAAATGACCTGGGCAAACTCCCAAACTCCAAGACAATTCGACGAATGAAGATTCTGTTGCATATAATGAACGCACAGGTCAACGACCTCTGTGAAATTCAACCGGTCAGCAGCTAACACCAGGTTCTGCACGTTTTCATTCGTAATTGTGACCTTGCCGGTGTACGAGAAACGAACCAGCGAGTCGAATATGTAAGGATCGGTTTCTTTGATCGTGATGTGATCTAACTCGTTCTCGAGCATTTCATGCGTGAACATGGCTTTAAAGTAACTACTTGATGCCGATAATACAGTCTTGTGGCATTGAATCACGTGATCGCCAACACGAAAGGTGACGTCAGTCAGACAACTTTCCTCCCGTAAGATATTCAAATGAAGATGCAAGAATTGTGCATGAGCTTCGTCGTCAAACTTGAACTCACGTCCGTATTTGATAGTATCTCGGAAGGCCTCACAAACTGTTTCGAGAGTTTTAAGCTTTAACAACTTTGAGGTTTTCCTAAGCGCTTTTACATATTGGGCACCAATACAAACATGTCCGGTGTAAATGTAGTCCACTATTGTTCCCAGCATATCCAGATCTGTGATCACAACTTCTCTTGCAGACGTCACATCCTCTCGATCTTGTTCAATCAGATCATAAAGATATAGACTTGCTGCGGCGAGAACGACGCCATGACACCGAAAGTACTCGTCGCCGGCACTGAGAGTGACGTCAGTGTTCCAGTTTTCATTTCTCAGCTCATTAATTATGCGTAAACTTTTCTTAGCATGTGATAAATGATGATACTCATCGCCTCGGTTCACATACGGGGATTTTATCTCTGTCGTCATTTCCTGCAAATCTATAAATGAATAAACAATTAAAAATCACTTATAAGCATCCTCAATCGGTAAAGCTTTTTGGATTGTAGGAAAACCAATATGTTTATCAACACACGTGTCACGCATGCGCGGCGTGACGACCAAGTGAATATGCCCGAAATGTTAACTTCGTGAAATTAAATGTCAGTGAAAATAATTTATATTTTTTTACATTATTTTACATATAATGAAAATAATGAAAGTCTGTACTAGTATTTAATTGAACTGAGATCTTTAAGTTTTAAAAACTTCGCTAAATCATCTATAAGGCCAAAAAAATGTTTTGTCGACCGACCGAAAAATATGAAATATCGGGTCGCGTTTTTCTTTTCTTTTTTTTAAATAGGCCCAAATATTAAAAACTCACCATTTTTAGCAGTAAAAAAGTGTTTCCTCTAAAAATTAATGATCCCGGACCGTTGTTTGGTCCCCGGAGAGATAAGTGGCGACTTTGAACCTCGGGTTGATCTGTATTTCTCTGAATACTATGAAGTTTAAAAAAAATCCGACTTACCGACTCAATTTTTCAATTTTCCGACTTGAGGGCAACATAGTTTTTTTTTTTTTTTTTGGCCCAATGTGTGAGAGACGGCAGTAAACATGTGACGCATTTTACATGTTGACCTAATCCCGGTCGCCCTATCTCCCTACGTACACCCTTTTTATACTAAATTCCACTAAAAAGAACACTAAGTTTCTTAAAATTCATAGCTAACTCTATATCATTTAAAATATGGTCAAATATAGAATATGTAAATCCATTGTTTCGGTTTTTGAATACTTTTAGTACGGAGGAAAACTAAATTGCAGCGACTCATAGCGATGAAATTCGAACAAGTGCTGCGCGAACGCCACCATACGTGGGCAAAATAAACGAAAGTATCTGAGAATAGTTAGAGTGGCGGTGATGGAATCACGAACTCACTGACCCACTTCAAACGATGAACCGAGTACTAGTATACGTTAGTCACGACGTATTCACATTGAGACTGATTGTTCAACCTAGAACGTCACACATGATTCGAGTATTGTCTCATGCCACGGAGACACAGAAGAGAGTGAACAGAAATACTGACTACAGTTGATTCAATAATCTAGGAATGCAATGAACGTCGCCATGTAAATGGCTATCTAGCAATATAAAATCCCAACTTCCCGACGCGTTCGGTTACGGAATGATTATAATAACGACGGAGCACCGTGGTCAGGCATTTAAGGGTATCAGATCCAGAAAACGGCAGTGATGTGACGGTACACATAACCGTATTTTAAACTTATTCTAGACCGGTGTGTACAGCGGATTGTAAGTCAGCGACTGTAATACGTACTATCAGCATTTAGATTCGCAGTGACTTTTTGGCGTCTAATTCGTTAGACACCAGGCCCGTATGAATTATTACCACAAAAGCTAATTACCTTAATTATGACATTGAATAGAATGACGTCATCCGTGCAGTTAAACAATGATCATCACCAACGTGTATCGCTCACTGCAATCCGAAGTCGTACAATGATTTGTTTCCGGGTCATCCGGGTCATTTCAAGGACATTAGATGTATCTGTTAGCGTGGCGGCTTTTGTTTCATAAAGATTGTTATATAGTACAAGGACTTTATGAAATTCATCCCGGGATTTTTATCTCGATTACTCAGGATGCCAAAATGGGAACACGACCACGTCTTTTAGGCACCGCTAATGTATGTAAAGGCTTCAATTCACATATAATTGCGCCACCAACGTTGATAGTATAGCAACACCTACTGATCGCCGAGTTCACACGGTATAAATCTTTATTTTAGCGGGAATCAATTTTCATTGAAAGGACATTTTGACTATTTTATATAAAGTTTAGCTTCACCGATTTTTGATGAGTTGAATTTAAAATGAAGACAAGGGATTACTTTCACTGGATTTTATTTCCACTGATTCATCCTTTGAGCGGAAATAGCGAAAATAAATTCCGCTGTACGATGTATTTGTATGGACTGTTGAGGAACGCCGGTCGAAGAGTTGGTGAAAATAGCTAAATTCGAAGAAACAGCACAAACTTAACTTTGAATTAATCCCGAGCAATAAAATGTATATTGTACATATAGGAGGCAATTTTGTTACACTGTTCAAAACAGTCTCAACAACTATCCCAAAGTATAAGTTTCTTTCGAAAGTTTTTGGCCTTTGTTTTCACCGTGATGGTTGCTATGCGATGAAAATGCCCGGATGTCCGTCCCAGAGAATTGGTATATTACGATAAAATGATAAATAGAGGCGGCAGCATGCGTTTGATGCAGGATAACTGTAGAAAATGCATGGCGCAAGCAAAACTCGTATGGACGGGTTGTCGCTTGAAGGGCGCTCGTCGTCGTGCCGCGCATGAGCATGAGATGATAAATATTGATTTTCCCACAACCCAATGCGGTTTTCAAATTAAATCATAAGTACTAGTTATGCCCTGGGCGCCACCTGCACCAATTACCGCCGGCAACTATTTCGATACCTTCCAATCACTCAAACATTATTACCTAATCATATCTTGGTAACCTCTCAGTTTCTATTCATTGGTCGGCGCAACATTCAAACTGATCGCCATCTTTGTGTATATGAGACCCATATTTCGCGCATGCGTGGCTCGACGGCCACCGCTCTTTCAAGTTATTATTTCAAGTCATTATACGTACATTGTCACTGAATAAGCACAAAAAAATCACTTGAAAACAACTGATTGATTTTTTATTACAATGGTAGATCACTGTATAAAGTATCTCTTATTCTACACAAAATAAGCTATCTGATCGACTGTTCGAATCTATGAACGGCGACCCCGGGGGGTTAGTTTCTGAATTCTATGATTACAGTTAGTTAACTAGTATATCAACTTGAAACAATGCCGTCAACTCTCGCTAACGGAAAAGTAATGCTTGCATTGCGTGCACAAGTTCAGGCCATTATTATGTACGTACTGCATTCTACAGCCATATACCACTTTCCCGGAAATAGCAAAACTGGGGTGTAAAAATACTCCTGCTTTGTCACGGCGGAAAATACAAACATATCAGTTTACTAATAGTCGATAGAAGGGAATTCTATTTTTGTTACGTCGATTGGTACACCCAGAAGCATAATATCACGCGTGCAAATTTACGTTACATCCCAAAACGGATGCGCGCATGCGAAACACCGTCACCATCTTCGACTTCCGGGAAAGTGGTCTATGCGACCATTCTTTACTTTGTGTACTATCTCCGTAGTAGCCATAATAGAAACCATGGTATATGGAATGGTGGATGCGATGACGGAAGGAAATGACGCAAAACAAGTCACGTGGCCCTATTGATCTCAAAGAGCTCGACTGGCATTAGCGAATCTCGTCTGACATGTAGACGTGAGATTCCACTAACGGGTTGGAGCACCGCGGAGGGCGCAGCTCACGCGACTTTGTCAGATTATAACGAATCATGTATATTCTGTTCCAATGTTCGTAGAAAACCCTGTTAATGTTACTTTCCAAATTTGTACGATTTTTCGCAAAGCCTTTTACTGAATCCTGTATAAGTACATTTTAAAATTACAAGAATCGATTCTAGGAAATCTAATGATCTATTTTAATAGTAGTAGACAACTACGTCCGTGTCCCGTCAGCTTTATGAAGCAATCCTGAATCGCGCCCTCTAGTGACATAACGCGTCTGTGACGTCAAAATGACGTATATGGGTGAAGACCAAGTCGTTTTAATCGACCACCGTGATTGGTTGTGTTGTTGTTTCATATTAGGGTGCGAAAGAGCGGTACTTATCAGCCAGTTACTGTAAAATACTTAATTTTCGCTCGGAATTTATTTTCTCTATTTTCGCTAAAGGAATATTTCAGTGAAAATAACATCCAGCGAATATACTTTTTTTCCTATATTTTGCATTCAACTCATCAAAAATAAGCAAAAAGTCTGTTTCTGTGAAAATTAATTCCAGCTGAAATCAGTATATCACAGTACTTCTCTAGTGCGTAAATCGCCCTCTATATACCAGTGGCCCGAGGATCTGTGTGTCACTTGTTTTATGCTGAATTCATTTTTCTGCCAATTTATATTATTTTACAAGTTGTAATCGTTGAGTTCCGGGTGTAAATCCGAAAACAGTATGCAAATCAGTGCAGATATTGGGATATCACTCCATTTTTTTGCGCGTGTTAATGTTAGTAGAGATAATTAAGACCTAAAAAAAAAGAAATGGCATCCGACATCAAAGCGTTTTTTTTTACCTGTATATTGAATCTGAGATTGTCGGTACATTTTGAAAAAAAAATCGCTATTAACTAATTACTGAGGAAGCATAGACTTAATTCGACTATGAATGGTATTCTAAAATAGTAAACCATGAGTCGAGGAAAGGTAAATTATGTTAACAGGGTAAGTTGCGAAGATGGTAAATGGCGTCCTCTATGAACCACGTATTTCAGGTTATTGCATCATCAAGCCTATGCACGCTAGGTTCGGTTGACGGTCGTCTCATGAAGAACGAAATAAGGTGAGGTTTTACGAAAACGACTAAAATTGACTGTTTCTAAACAATAAAATGTATTTTTAGATCTTAAGTTCGATCAATACAGTTTCCCGTACGCGATTAATTCGATGTGGACGCACATGATCATGATGACGGCGTTGACATGACAACACGCTCCACCGTCCATGTGTTAGCATACAACAAATTACTAAAACTAGTTCATCTTTACAAATTGGTCCACACTCCTCTTTTTCCTCTGTTTTTTTAAATAGTTCGATACACATTGTTTCATGTCGAGTTTGAAAAAAATGCAAATTTGTTTTTAATAGAACGAATAGTGTGTCATTTTCGCAATCCGCATAAAGTATTATCACTTTTTTTAAATGGTTCGTAACGCCATTGTTAGTTTTCACTTATGATCTTGATAGCATTAAGCAATCCATAAGTAAAATATATAAAAACAAATTCAAAGACTTT